ATATTTATAAAATATCAAACAAAAACAGAGCAAATAACAAGAAGCCCGCTGGCACGGAGACACGGGGACAGGGGGCGAGGGGACACGGGGACACGGGGATATGGAAACAAGGGTACCTGCCGAGCCGCGAGCAGAGGAACCCCACGAGGCAGGACCCCGTGAGACCCCCGATGGCGAACACGGAGACAGTGAGGGAGTAGAGGAGCGTGAGGCCCTCCGCGCCGAGCGAGGCGCCGTAGCGGCCAGCCCAGCTCGAGTTGTAGAACGTCTTGATGTACTGAGACACGGGGACACGTGAAGACACTGAGACACGGGGACACAGAGACTGGGGGACACGCGAAGACACTGAGTATTGGGGATACGGAGACATGGGGGTGATAATTGCTGCTACGTGTAATCGCACTTTGAGTAATTTTCGAGTTTGTAAAACGTGGACCGTGACGCCGCGGGCACACACGGGGGTCCACTCGTCTCCAACGACGTCACCGGCTCCCCCTCTCGTCGTCCACCGCGAGTGAAGCAGACGGCGCGGGGCGGCAGTATTAACCGGGGCGGCCCGTCCGATCCGAACCGCGCACACACCGGTCACGCGGCAAGCGGCGTAACGCGTCGCTGTGACCCGCGGCGCGGACCTCACCTCGGCCGGCGCGTTCACGACGGCCAGGTTGTAGCCGTAGAGCGCGGAGGAGCCGAGCGACACGAGCAGCGACAGCGAGAAGAGCGACCACGTGAGGCGCTGCGGGGGGCAGCGGGGGCAGCGGGGGGGGGGGGGCAGCGAGAGGAGAAGTCAGGGGGTGAGGGATGGGATGGGAGGGCAGTTAGGAGGGGGCATGGGGTGGAAGGGCAGGCAGAGGGGGGCAGCAACAAGGGCAGGGGCAAGGCCGGGTAGGGGGAGGAGGGCAGGGATGGGAGATGTAAGAATCGTCGTACCGATGCTTCCATCTTCGTCGACACGAATTGCTGTGTCGCGAGGGCCGTAGTCCGTCTGGTTGATGCTCAGATTGTTATCTCAGATTGTTATCTCAGATTATTGTTTCGCACCGTACGGAGCAGGGGGTCCTAGGCCACTGCTACGTTTGGGCAATGTGGTGCACTCCCAATGAAGCGACCAGGCCACACGGCGTTTAAAGTGTCGTCTCCAACTCACTCCCAACTGGACTTCTCTGGCCTCTCTCTCTCTCTACTGTGAATAAGGGCCATTGCCCGAAACGTCGCCTATCACGTACTTTGTTTTTGTTGTTGTGTTAAGGCCACGCTGTTGTTGTGTTGAGTTTGTCCCGGTAAAAGTCGTGCGTGAGGACGTCGGAGAAGGCTGAGACGAGTCGTGGCACCGCACAGATCGCGTCAAGAGCCACCTTGCTGTGCTGCCCGCGTCTCGCCACACTCGGAGCCCCGCGGGGATTTGGAGTTTAACAAATCTGTGCGTGACCCGCCAACCCGCGCCTCCACGGCGCTGGATCCCAGCGAGGGCAGGACGGGGGGAGATGGTGGACGATGCTGATGGTGGTGTAGACATGAGTGTCGACGGTGATGGAGACGATGCTGATGCTGATGGTGGTGTAGACATGAGTGTCGACGGTGATGGAGACGATGCTTGTCGTAATGATGGCGAGGATGATGATGTGGAAATGATGTGCGTTGAACTTCTTTTGCACCGTACGTTGCCAACCGGGCTCACTCGACCCGCTCGCCTCGGCGATGATGACAGTCGTGGACAATGATAATGATGTTGTTGATAATGGGGTCGATAGTGCTGATGGCTATGGTCGTGTTGATATTGACAGTGATGATGATGATGTGCAAAGTGATGATGACGCTGGTGGAGTCGCCACTCACCCCGTTGGTCTCCGTGAGTGTCTCCGAGGTCTCCAAAATGCTGTCCGACAGGGAGCCCATTGCCTCCTCGCCTGGACTCCAACCCGCGGTCCTCAACTCTGGGGACTCGCCGCTGAGTCCCCGTGTCCCTCCCCCCTCCCCAGTCCCCTCCCCCCTCCACCACCGAGACCCCTCCCCCCTCCCCAGACCCCTCCCCCCACCACCACGGCCGTGGCTAACATCTGAGCAACCTGCGCCGACCATGCGTGGTGAAGTCTGGTCAAACGCAACTCCCGGGTGGGCAGTTTGGGGCTTTCGTCCAGCAGCGGAGTGGCGCAGGGGGCAGCAGCGCCGAGGGCGCGACGACCCTCGGGTTGCGGCCACGTTCAGGCTCGGAACAAAAACAGCGCGAAGCAAACGAAAGTGGGGAGGGAGGGAGGAGGGGGGCAGGTCTCGTACCCCGCGCGACCATCGCTGATGCGATCACATGACGCGGGCCGCGGTCACGGATTACATTAACAAGGAGCCCCAGGCAAAGGGGGTGGGGGGGATCCTATCCGGGGTTCAGGGTTAAACTTAAAACACAAGACGACAAGAGCTGTTCACAAACGCCCCCACTCACCGGCCCCTGCCCCGCAAGGGGCATTCGCAATCATCACGATCCACCACGTGCTACCCCCCTCGCCTCCCTGACCCCCATCTCCACATCCCGATGCGATGGAGCAATGGGAAGGAGTGGGGGAGGGATATAGAAGAGGAGCTGCAGGTTGCAAGGGTCGCGTGTCGTCCCCCCAAGCACTGCCCCCCCGATCGACCAGGAGAGAGAACAGCGCCTCGCTCGCTACCCTGAACTCTGCGGCATAACCCCGACCCTCCAAGCCCAGGGATGCCCAAACCCCCTCACCACCTCGCGACGTGTGGGGAGACATCGCGGATGTCACGGTGTCATGCCGGCCCGAGAGGGGCACGGCGTGCGGTGTGGCGACATCGCGGGCACCACGTGGTGTGGGTGCAGCAGCGGCCCTGGAGGGGCTCGGTGAGCGCTGACTGACAGCGCTGGGTGGCACCACGCTCTGCGGTGCAGTGCCGACCCCTACAGGATAGGGTTTGAGAGTGTCGGCCACAGGGAATGGGGTTACTAAGGGTCGTGGCAATCCGGTTGACCCCAGAGGACACGTGACCGGTTAAGTCTGCACAGGGCCCCCAGGTGGGGGCTCGGGGTGGTCACGTGTCAGGGCCGAGATCCTGCTCGAGGATTCTGGAAGGTGGGCGTGGCCAAGGGGCGGAGTCGGCCACGCCGTGGAGGATATAAGCCGGGTCCCCAGAGGGAGCAGCTGCTGTTGTTCATCCTGAAGAAATCTTCGTCTACATCCTACAGTCACCAACACGTGGACCTGGACCCAAGCTGTGGCCTGGTCCCTTGTAGCTAGTTACCGTGTACTTAGTGCAGTTAGCCTGGTGGTCACCACCATAGGTAATTGCGTTAAGGGGTCGTGACCCCGTGTGTCGGTGTTAATAAATGTGTTGCCTCCAAAGAGAACGTCTGTGAAACAGTTGAATCCACTACACTTGGCGATCTAAGCAAGTAACGCAGTGACGTTAGAACACGTGCACACCGATCCCAATCCCAATCAACAGCACGTCACGTGTTTAACAATGATCGGGCGCGTGGAGTGAGTTAATTTCTTTGAATATGGGGAGTAAAATGGCAAACGTGGAGAGACGTGGCGTAGTGGAGCGTCGCTAGGACTGGAGTTTGGAAAACTCCGCTCTAACCCCTGATTGTAACACTACCCACTAACGCCAACTCGACCCCTTAACCCAAACACTGTCGTCAAAATCAGCGTCCTTCATTGCAAGGCAACACCCCCCATCATCATCACGCTGCTGTCAAACCCCAATGGTTTCAAAAGTGTGGCAGCCCTCACACTGACGACGTCTATGTTCCGTTTGGAATTGGTAAAAGCTACCATACTGCCTCTACTTGATTACTGTGACATCGTGTATAAATCAGCCCCAAGTACTTTACTGAAGAAGCTTGACTCAATGTATCACTCGGCCTTAAGATTTGCATTGAACTGCCCATATAGGACTCACCACTGTGATCTCTACATTGGGTGAAACTGAACAACTCTTAATGTTCGACGGCTTGTGCACCAGATCTTACAAAAAAATCCGCAGATTACCTGCTGGATCTCCTCTCTGTTTCAAAGAACAAATATGACCGAAGATCTTTGCTTATTTACCAGCTTCACATTCCCTATTGTCGTACAAATACTGGAGGAAGGGCCTTTGTTTTTGATGGCCCCAGGGTCTGGAATGCTATTGCCAATAAACTGCAACTTGAATCACTACCTATGAGATTTTCACTCAAACTGCTCTAGAGGAGTTGTACACCCCAAACTGCCACTGCTATTCATTGGCCTAAAATAAAATGTTTCGCTCCGGATGATCGCTGCAAAGTATGACCGGTGTTTTGATTTAGTGTGCTGATCTTAAAGGTGCATTGAAACATTTTGATACTCCGACTGATGCTCCTGCTGTTGTGGAGTGACTCATGCAGCCAGCTATGGCTGCAAGATTTGGTGGTACATGTTGTTTATGTCGTTTTTTGTGAAAATTCGGTCACAGTTCCTATGATCACTGTTTCATTGCTTTTATGGCTTTATTTTGATTTCGAAAAGTATTTTGGTTTGGCCATGTTTGTTTGTTGTAGTACGGAGTTAGACTGATGGCCTTAATCTAAGTTGCCTTGTGGTTGTTGACTTGTATCCCACTGGGATTTTTGCACAGTGTTGGTATACGGTGCTTTTCTTGGATTTTTTGTTTGCACAGTCACTTTAAGATGTTTTCTTGTTCACGTTTTTGTTTTTTGTTTGTTGCGGTTGCACCCGATTCAAGAGCCGAATGGCTCACAGGGCTATACCAAATAAATGAACTTGAACTGAACTTGTCGGCGAAAGTGCTCTCCGCCCCCCCCCCCTGAAAACGAGTGAATAACACTGGACTAAACCCCATCTCTTTTTGTTGGGTAAGCGTCGTTGTTGTCGAGGTGTGGTGCGGGTGCCATCATCGGGGCTTTGGCCACCCTCGTGGCGTCTTGCTCCTGGCACGGACCCCCCCCCCCCCCCCACGAACCCTGCCCCTTCGGCAACAGCGAGAGACGCAGTCGGGGAGGCCGCGAGTTTACAAACAGCCGACTTTTATTCCCATCGTCGAGTTCACGGGCAGCGCGACGAGGGAGAGCCACCGGGGCCGCTCCGTGCACGCAGCGGCGACGGCACGGCAAGAGTCGAGAGGAAATCGGCGCGCGGCATCTTCCGGCCGCGCGACTTCTGTTCCGTGCGACTTATGCCGCTTGGACACGGCGGAGTCGCGCGGTGCGACTCCTCCGGCGCTCGCGCGGTGAACGCGAGGAGGGCCCAGGCGCCGTCGCCGATGCGGAGAGCCGCGGCGCCATCGGCTCCGGACACGAGGGGAGACGAAAAGTCGCGGATGGGGAGGCGGGGCAGGCGGGGCAGGCGGCCCGGGGGCCTAGCCGACTCGGCAAGCGCTCGATGGCTCCAACCCGAGCCAACTCGGCCCGCTAGCCACGAGCACGGGGCCGTCCCTAAGCAATTAACAACCAGAGGCGAACCCCAATCCCCAATCGCAGTAGACAACCAGCCCTGCAAATGACAATAAACCTGCACCTAACGCACTACCCAACCAGAACCTCGCGGTACCCAAACCAGCCGTGAGACTTGGTCCCGCCACCGTCGGCCCGCGCACAACCAAAAAGCACGAGACGGGCACCTGCCTCCCACCAATCAGCCACCCAAGGCACTCGTGCTCACCCCCCTCCCACTGAACCTGCCCATGGCCCGAGCCCCACCAGAGCACGGGTGCATGTGTTGTTGTTTCATCTTCCGTGCCGATGTCCACAGCCTCTCATCGCACTGCTGCATGGGGGGGGGGGCTCAACGTCAAGACGGGGGTGGGGAGGGCTGGGGGTGAGGGGGGCTCACCTGGTGCAACAGGCCGAGCCATTTTCGGGACAATCTCACCCCCCTGCGCCCCCCCCCCACAAACCCCCAACAGGACTCCTGCCGCCCGCCCTTCTCACCCGCACCCCCCGTGTCGGCTCTAGGAGTCGGCATCTACACTCGCGTAGCCGCTGCTCCTGCTGCTGATGTTGGTAAGTACTACCATTGTTAACAACAATAACAACAATCAATAATAATAAAGTAATAAATCAAGCACTGCGCTCAGTGCCGGGACGCAGCGATCCGAACATTTAAAAAAAGACGAAGGAGGGCGCCGCTGCAACACGCGCGCCCCGCTTTAGTTTAAGATCTCACGGACACCGCCACCCACGCGGGCGGGCGGCAAACACGAGCGGGGTCGGGGTGGGGGTCCCGGGCCGGGGTCATCGAGCCGGCTTCCCGGTGCATGGTGGAGGTGACCAAGCCCAGTGGCCCCGTCGGTAATTTCAACAAACGGCGCCGCGCAAACCGTGCGCCAAGAACGTCGCACGGGGGACTGCATGTCGACCGTGGGGGTGGGGGTCTCCGCGCCACGGGCAGAGAGAGAGCGGAGGGCACCCCCCCTGCGCGGAGAGGGGGGCACACGAGCTGTGCATCAGTGCGGTCGCGTCTTGCCCCCCCGTGGCGATGGCAGTGGCAAGGAACTCTGGAAGGGGTGGGCGAGTGCGGAACGCGGAGCGGACGAGTGTGCGAGTGCGGAGTGGGTGAGTGTGTGAGTGCGGAACGGGCGAGCAGAGGGCCTTGTATGCAAGTGGCTGCGAGTCGAGGGCGAGCGGGAGTACGAGTGAGCGGAGGGTGTGTGTGTGGAGGGAGCCTCGGTGATGTCACCGCCACTTGATGGCGAACGGCGGTTGTTGTTGTTGGAGGGGGGTGGATGCGGGTACTGGGGAGACAAAGGGGGCTGGGCGTGGTGCTGGCCACCCACCCTCTCGTGTGGCGTTCCGGCCTTCATAGGTGCTCGCTAACAGAACTTGCCCCAACAGTCAGTCAAGGCTATCGAAGGGATCTTTGTATTCGTGTATAAATGGAAGGTTTGTGTGTGTGGAGCGGTTTTAGTATGCAAGTTGGGTGTGTGAGTGGAGGTGTGTTTCAGTCTGTGTGTGGCCTCAAAGTGCACCTAGCCTGGCACAGGCGCTATGGTGACGTCACTGGCAGTTATTGTTGCGTGTGTGAGTGGAGGTGCGCAAGCGATTATTTTGTGTGTGCATATGCCTGTGAACATGTGTACAAGTATGTGTATGGCTACTTGCGTGTGTATGTATGCATGTCCCTGCCTGTGTGTGAGCAGCTCGCCCGGCTGTGTATGGGTGTGTACATGTGTATGTGCGTGTATAAATATACGTGCCGGTACGTGCCTGCGCGAGTGTGCGAAAGAGCGAGAGAGCGAGAGAAAGCGAGCAATCACGGCGCTCCCTTCACACGCCGCTGGCGCCCATACTGGGCACCGGGTAGAAGCGCGACACGCGATTGGTGGTGCCGGGGTTGACGCACTCCGAGTCGCTGCTCATCTTGAAGAACATCTCCTGCTCCTGGCGCCGGCGCGCAAACTCCTCCTCCAGCACCTGCACGCGCCACGCCGTAACAACACCATCGCACCGGTGTCACAACACACCCAGTTGCTACACCGCACCACCTCACCGGGACGTCACAACGTACCCTACTGTCAACACCGCACCACCGCACCCTCGCACCGGTAAGCCAAACGCCATGCTTCAACCTCGCCCCGCGCGTGGCACCACGGCGCCGCGGCCCCCACGTGCGGCGCACGCACCCGCTAGCGGCGCACGCACCTGCTTGCGAGGCTTCAGCTTGTCCCTCCACTCGCGCATCTCCCCGCTGTGCTGCTCGTCCAGCTCCTTGAGCTTCTGCGTCTCCCGCTCCACCAGCAGGTGGCACTTCTCATTCTACACAGACACGGACAGAGGTCACCACACCCCCCACCCCGTGGAGACAACAGACTTTTGAGGCGAGTGCCGTTAGCGGCCGGATCGGAGGGATCGGGGGGGGGGGGGGAAGGGAGATCAGAGGAATCGGAAGGATCGGGGGGGAAGGGGGGGATCAGGGGGAGACGGGAGAGATGGAGGTTTTGGGGGGCAGCGAGGGAGCGTCCTCCCGCCCTGCTGGCATCACCTGCATCTGCTGCAGCTCGCGCATGTTCGCCTCGCACTGCATGCCGAGGTCGCGCATCTGGTTGTCGTGCTTCTGCTGCTGCTGCTGCCGCTCCGCCTTCTGCCGCTTGTCCTCCTGCTGTGCAAACTGTGGGGGGCCGGATATGAGGGTGGGGGGCAAAGGGGGCGGGGGGGGGGCCTGGTTCACCGCCACGCTCACACCTCACCACCATCGCCCCTCACACCTCACCACCACGGCCCTCACACCTCACCACCACCGCCCTCGCACCTCACCACCACCGCCCTCGCACCTCACCACCACCGCCCTCGCACCTCACCACCACCGCCCCTCGCACCTCACCACCACCGCCCCTTGCACCTCACCACCACCGCCCCTTGCACCTCACCACCACCGCCCCTCGCACCTCACCACCACCGCCCCTCGCACCTCACCACCACCGCCCCTCGCACCTCACCACCACCGCCCCTCGCACCTCACCACCACCGCCCTCACAAGGTGCTAGGCGGACCTGTTTGATGCGGTCGCGATTGCCTTCTCCGCTGCTGGATGGGTTGATCTGCAGGCTCTGCTTGAACATGGCCATGCGCGTCTTGGCCTCGCTGCGCTGGTTCTTGGGCAGGCGCACGCGCTCCTGCGCCTGGCGTGCCTTCATCTCCTCCAGCAGGCGCTGGTTGTAGCGTGTCATCTGCTCCTGTTCCTGCACACGCCCACCGACAGCGTCGTCGCGACGTTAACGCCTACAGCGTCGTCGCCCCCCCGCCGGCACGAGGTCGAAGGCGACGGTGACCTCGCCCCGGCCGGGCAGCGGCCCGTGGAACGAGGACACGGCCACAGGCACCGGCGACGGTGAAGTCGTCGCGGCCCGTGTGGATGCGGGCCAGCGGTGGGACGGCTTCTCGCTACCAAGCGCTCTCGCGGGCAACCGCTCGTCAACTAGCGCGCAGCCTCGGCCACCTCCTGCCTGCCGACATCGTGCGGTGATGGCGACGAGATGGCGCGAGCCGCGTCGATGAACACGGTGTTGTTGCCGAGCCCAGAAAGTTCGTCCCCTCCCCTGCCCCCCCAACAAGTACCCAATCGGTGCGGACAGTCCGCTCGCGGTGCCAGGCGAGCGTTTTCACGGTGGGCCCCAGGAGGCCGCGGTGCCGCACCGAGTCCCGGCTCGCATCCGGAGCGCGAGTCTGGGGGGTTTCCCCACGCCTTGTTCTAGGCGTAGAGACGTGAACCTTGACCCCAGACCCCCCCCACCCCACCGCCTCTCCAAGCACCTTGTCGTGGCGTTTGAGCAGCTGGTGCCGCTGCAGGAAGAACTGCTCCTTGAGCTGCTGCTTCATGAGCTGGTGGCGCTCCTGCATCTGCCGCTCCTCCAGATCCCACATGCCGGCCTCCCTCGCTGAGTGGGCGGGGGGGGGACGAGGGGGGCGGGGGACGGTGAACGCGACCGCCAAGCGAGACTCGGGGTTGCGAGTGACCATGGAGATTTCATGGCAATCATCGTTGGCAACGGTTGGTGCGCTGTGGGCCGCTGTAAAACCCTTCACCATATTCTCCGCATTGTAAGACACACCTCAAACTTGTGCCCGGTGCCAGTAATTTGAGGCAGATCTGCTCATGCAATTTGCCAAAATTAGGACGAACCTGATCGCTGCTCCCTCTATTGTGCAACCGAGATGACAACATCCAATCATAACGCAGATAAGGGGTCACATGACTAACCAAATGTCGTGTGCTCTGAAGACCAATCACGTTTCACCCAACGCCAATTTTCAACAAACACCATTGTCATTGGCCGGACAGAACTCCGCCCTGCCAAGTTACAGTAGCTGCTAACAGGTAACGAGTTGCCGGTGATAGTTTGCTGGCCCAGATTGCCCTAAAGTTGCCCAGGCACATGCAGGCCTTTAGCGGGTCAAAGCCTTTAGCGACTAGGCCCGCACTCGTAGCTATTTTCGTCTATTGTGCCCTCGGCATCACGTAGCGAGAGGAGGAATCCACACCAACATCGTCGTGCTAGGGAACGGCCCGCAGAAGCGGATACCGCAGAGCTACCTCTGAGATCCCGAAGGCCGACGCAACCACCAGTACACAACAGGTGCCGGTGCCGTTTCCACGTGTATGGGGTGTGAGGGGGAGCGAGGGGGGAGCGAGGGGGGGGGCGTCACCTCGCAGCAGCTGCTGCTTGTTGTGGAGGCAGGTCTTCTCCGTCTCCGCCACCTCCACCTTGTGCTCCATGATGATCTTCTTGAGCGCCGCGTCCAGATCCTGCTGCTGCTTCGTGATGAACTCCGTCTCCTGGGCCATGGGCGCACGGGGACCCACGGGGGGTGGGGGGTGGGGCACGGGGACGCACGCACGGGCACAGGTGCGAAGAAGCACACATGGCCATACATGCACACACCACAGCGCGCGTTCACACGGGCACGCAGGTACGGGCACACACACAGCACACAGCATACACATTTCACGTGCAGCACGTGCCTTCTACGCACGTCATTTAACCAACACGCACACACAAACACATCTTCACAAACGCGCGCACGTGAACGTTTGCGCCAGGCTGTTCCCGTGAGCGCACGCGCGGCACGCGGGGCCCACGCGGGGTCTCGCACAGCGGCAAAAACCCGGTGCAGATCTGGCGGCCAAAGACTTTTACTGGAGATCAGAGTCTGGCCTCCTCCCCCACCAAGCCTCCTCCGCGCACAATGGACCGCTCCATGTCAATACTCATCTGTTTCCCTGGGAGTGTTACATTTACCGCTGGGGGGGGGGGGGGGGGAGAGATAGGGACCTGGACAACAGAAGCGACGACGGCGATGATGGGCGAGATGGTGGCCCATAGCCCCCACTTCCTCACTTTAAACTCGACAAATGCCGGAGGGAGGGGAGCAGCAACGTCGGGGTTGGGGAGCTCTCGTTAATGCAGCCACTGCACACTGTAAATCGCGGTTAAACGCGGTTAATCACTGCAACCTCACGGCACTCAAGCGCATGGGGTTAGCGCGGGCACCATCAGTGGCGCCGTGGCGGTGCCGAGGGTCCCGTAGCTCCAGTCCGTCCCTCCCTGGGCCCCGGTGTGGCACTCCCTGGTCCCCGGCCTCTCTCCACCCAGGGAACCCAACTACAGCCAGGAACCTACAGCAACGTTCTTACGACGACCAATCAAGACATGTGATCTGTAGGGCAGTGATTTATTATCTCCGAGGGGGGTCTGCGCTCTGGTGGCCTGTCATGGTTTTGCCCTCCCCCCCTCCTCGTGCGAGTCGGCCCCCACCCCCCCAACCCCGCACCGTTCTCAAGACGCCACTGATGGGAAGCGGGGGAAGTGGCAGGGAGCGGAGGGCGACCCGCACTTACACTGGGCAGTTTGGCGTTGCACAGGGAGAGGGAGGAGAGCTGAAAGCTGTGCACAGGGATCTGTGCCAGGCCCTGTGGACCCAGAGACAGCTGACAGCGTGAGGGAGGGGGGCCGTGTGGGATGGGGGGGAGGTGTGAGCACACCAACTCACACACCGCCGGAACGACCACATGCACGCGCACCAGTACGCAACACCGCAAGCACGCACACCGGCGGATAACGACACACGCTACCACGCTAATACACGCACGCACCAACGTACACACGACAACACGCGTGTCACTGACACGTACGAATACGCCCCCCCCCCCGCTTCGCACGTCGACTCCACAAATGGCGACATGCGCAAACCTACGATGATCACACTCGCAGTCGAGCACACGGCACACCACCACACACGTCCGCACCGTCGCACGACAACAACAACAGCCGCCATTCGCCACCAAGTGGCGGCGACGTCACCGTCGTGCTTGTGCCAGGCTAGGTGCACCTTGAGGCTACGTGAAGTGTCGAAAGGCTCTCGCTGGCAAGGGGTCACGGGACAGACCCAGGTGCTACGGATCAACTATCGCTCATACGAACACACACACACAACCGTCCGCGCGCACACACACACACACAGCCCGCGACGAGCGCGCCGACGCCATCGCACGCGGCCCGGTGCCCGCCGTCGTCGAGTCGCGTCCGACGGGAGGCGCGGCACGAATCCGACGACGCGGTGGAAAAGACGCGACGCCACGGCCGCGAACGAGGGGCCCTCCCCCACCGGTGCCGCCCCCCCACCCCCCCACGGCGCTTCCCTCCTTATCCTCGCAACGGTTGCCACGGCGCCCCCCCGGCGGCACCCCCCCCCCCGCAACCATGGTCGGGGGGGGTCTTGAGCGGCAGCGGCGGTTACCTCGGACTTTTGCCTGAGCGCGAGATCCTCCCGGGTGCGCTTTGCGTGCTCTTTCCTCTGCTCTTTGGGAAGTTTGTCCACTTCACTCAACACCTACGGCATGCAGGAGGGGCGCACGCCGCGTCAGGGTGCCCATGCGGGGGTCAGGCTCGCTCCACGGCTGGATAGAATCCTACAGCGTGCAGGGTCACTCACTCTACAGCTGGTTAAGCGTGTATGTGGCAGCATGCGGGGTCAGGCTCGCTCCACGGCTGGACGTTTAACGCGTGGCAAGCAGGGTCGGGCTCGCTAAAAGAGGTGGAACAGCTCACAAGGCAAGCAGGGTCAAGCTCGCTCTACAGTTGGATTGAACTTACAGTAAGCAGGGTCAGGCTCACTCCACAGCTGGACAGCGCACACAACATGCAGGGTCAGGCTCACTGCACAGCTGGACAGCGCACACAACAAGCAGGGTCAGGCTCACTGCACAGCTGGACAGCGCACACAACATGCAGGGTCAGGCTCACTGCACAGCTGGACAGCGCACACAACATGCAGGGTCAGGCTCACTGCACAGCTGGACAGCGCACACAACATGCAGGGTCAGGCTCACTGCACAGCTGGACAGCGCACACAACATGCAGGGTCAGGCTCACTGCACAGCTGGACGGCGCACACAACATGCAGGGTCAGGCTCACTCCACAGCTGGACAGCGCACACAACAAGCAGGGTCAGGCTCACTCCACAGCTGGACAGCGCACACAACAAGCAGGGTCAGGCTCACTCCACAGCTGGACAGCACACACAACAAGCAGGGTCAGGCTCATTCCACAGCTGGACAGCACACAACATGCAGGGTCAGGCTCACTCCACAGCTGGACAGCGGGCAGCACAGGGAAAGAAGCGTGGCGGCACGGGAGCTCGCGCCGTTGCCTCGCGCAGAGCGAGCAGCCAAGGAGTTGTCCTGGACAAACCTGATAACCCACGAAAGCTAAAAGCTCATTGTCCAGCAGAGTAGGGGTTTGTTTAATAATAATAAATAACGTGTTATCGTTATACACGGCGGCGGCCTCGTTGGTGCAAATCGCATCGCCCGCAATCGCAGGGGAGCCACACACGAGCGGGAGGGCAGCAGCCGGCCGTGAGCTGCCGCTGCCGACAGCTGTCCAAGCTCTGCGGTCCCCTCCATGTGTGAAGCTGTCTTCAGCCAATTAATGAGCCTCCGCACGTGTGGGAGGAGAGCAGAGCAGCTGGATGAAAATCTCCGCGTGAGGGGGGCGATACTCGATCCCATGCAGATGGAACGGGTGAGGTCCACATCATGCCGTCCCGCCGCCACAGGAAGGGAGCGTTACGACATTTGTGCGATCCACCAACCGCCGCTGCTGCCTCCACAACAGGGTTTACGGGTCGCGTGCAGCGTAGGGAACACCGGCACTCGGCTGAGAGTAGGTAGGGGGGGGTTAAGTGGATAAAAGATCGACTCATTGTTTGTGGGGAGACGATACAATCCAAGTGGATTGTAAAGTGTCCCAACGTACATATCTCTGTCTCTCTCTCTACATATACGGGGGTTATCATGGATTTGCAAGACACGCCACAGGCCGGGACGGTCGAGTAACGATCCACGGACCCGCGCGTCACGTGACAATCGGGGGTCTTGAAAGCGGCGCGCACTGCAGGGTCACGGCAGCCCCAGCGGCCACCGGAGGAGCAGAACCTCACCCCGGCAGCAAAGCCAACAGGACGGTCGACTCCTCAATGGAATGGCGACCGCTGAATCGGGGGAATTGGTCGGATCGTTACAAGCCGAGCGGGCGCATGCTGCGTCACTGCCAGGCAATGGCGTGCAGGCTGCAAGAGCGTGCAGGGGTGTGCAGGAGCATGCAGGGATGCAGGAGCGTGCAGGAGCGTGCAGGAGCATGCAGGAGCGTGCGGGGATGCAGAGAGGTTGGGAGGTTGGGAGGTGGTGCAGTGGGAAGCGAACTCGGAAGTCTGTTACGAGGAGGCTGGCTGTGCTGGGGAGGCGCAGGCAGACGGCACGCAGGGCGGCAGCACCGCCGGGTGCTAACGGTGCAGGGTCACGGTTGAGGTTAGTCGGACGGGATAGACAGCGCCGGCAGCTGGCGCACGACAATCGGCCTGGCGCCCACCGCCACCAAACCACCAGGGAGCCACTGATGAACACAGCGCCAATACCCATGAGGCATAGAAATGCAACCAATCACGCCTGGGGTCACTGGGTCGGCCCAACGACCTGAACTAATTGTCCATACAATTCGACCAATCAGAGTCAAGCCCTCGACTGCAATAACAGCTGCGGGGGAGGGGGGGGAGACCGACACCACCCAAGCGGACGATGGGAGGGAATGCTGCGCCCAGAGGTCACCCAGAGGTCGCCCAGCGACAGAAACCGCGTCCCGTGAGAAGCGGAGGGAGAGCGCGCGAGACAGCGGAGAGAGCGGAGACAGCGGAGAGCACCTGAACCCGATCGCGAGACGTCACCGTGGGTAGCGAGCGCGGCAGCAGCATCGGCACGGAGACCCAGCGACCGCAACGTACGGCAACGACGACAACCGCTCCAAGCGAGGCCCGCAAAGCGTCGACAACATCCGTGGTGGCGTCGCACCGGACTCGGCACAAGCGCTTGCGTGCGTGCGTTTGTGCGTGTAATCGAATGCATTCATGAATGAGCATGGGCACGCACGCTTAGGCATGAACACGAGTTTGTTAACGTGAGCACGCTCGCAAGAACGCGTACGTGCGTGCGTCCGTGGACCGAGGACGACGCCAATCGGTGACCGTGGCTGAACATTAACAAGGCCGCGACGTCAACCGGCGAGCGCGCGAGAACGCGAGCGGGCGGGCGGAGAGCCCCCCCCACCGCCCGCTCGCCATCCTCCCGCCCTCCTCTCCCCTCGTCGGCGCACCTCCTTGCGGCGGTGCTTGAGCACGTCGTGGTATTTGGCCAGCTCGCGCTCCTGCTCGCCCTTGATTCGCCGCGCCTCGTCGCGCAGCCGCGCCGTGTGATCCGCCTCCAGCCGCTCGATCGACTGCTTCTGCTGCCGCTCCAGCGTCTCGATCTCCGTCTCGTACTGCTTCTTGCGCGACTGGGGGAGGGGGCGGCAGGGGGCGGCAGGGGGGGCGGCAGGGGGGGTTAAGGGAGGGGGCAGGTAAGTAACGGCGGAGGAAACGGTGATCGCTTGATTCCAAGTCGAAGCTTGCTTGGGTCGCACGTGGCGGCACCACGCGTAACACGGTGCCTCGTGTGCCGTGTTGGTGCTGAAGAGCACGACGAACGTCAGGGTCAACTCGATAGTGCGGTGTGTGGTGCGGTGTGTGGTGCGGTGTGTGGTGCGGAGTGTGCCGTGGTCCTCCGAGGCTGTAAGTGTTGAGTGTTTGGCGAACGTGATGCGTCGTATGCGGTGCGTTTGATGCAGTGAGTGTGATGCTGTGAGAGAGCGGTGAGTCAGTAGTGAGTGTGTGGGCGAGTGCACGGTAAGAGCACGATGAGTGCGTGGTTAGTGTGGCGAGAGCGTGGCGAGCGCGTGGTGAGCGCGGTACGTTGGCCTCCTGCTCGGAGCGACGCAGCATCAGCTCGCTCTGCTGCGTCAGTTTGCTGTTGAGCTCCTGCTGCGCCCTCTGCTCCTCCTTCTGCAGCAGCCGCAGCTCACGCAGCTCCTGCCGCCTGCACGCGCGAGCGACACGGGGAACTCGCTCGCCCATGCGCCTGCTCGCTCGCCCGCTCACCCGCCCACTCACTCGCATACCCACTACATGGCTCGCTCACTCACTCACCCACCCACTACACAGCTCAATCCTTCACTTAATTACATAAAAACACTCCAGCTCACTTGCAGACTCACCCGTTAAAATAACTCACCTATCCACTACGCAGATCACCCACTCACTCACCACAGAGTTTAATCATTCACTCTCCAACCCACTCACTCGCCCCACTCCTTCACTGGTCGACCCACTCGCCCGCTCAACTCACCCACCCCCCGCCATGCTCACCGGAGGAAGCGCATCTCCTCGTCCTTGCGGTGGTCGTCGTTGATGATCTTGCTCGTGGTGACGCTCACCTCCACACCGTCCACCATGAAGCGTCGCGTACGCTTCAGGGTCTTCTTTTCCCGACGCATATCCTGGTGCGCGGTGGTGGGGGGCGGACAGAGGGGGAGGGGCAACTGTGTGAGCCGCGCGAACTTTAAACAAGCAGCAGCAGGCCCCCCGCATGGATTACATGCGGCACACCCACACACGGCACGGCTCATGATCTACAGTCGGTGTACAATAAGCATATATGTAGTGTCCAATTGTAGATAAATCTGAACCACAAGAATGACCATGCCGATGATGATAATGATGACAATGATGATAATGATGATAATGATGACAATGACATTGACGTTGATAAACAGCCCCCCTCCCGTGGTGTGCTGTGTGGGGTGCCACCTGCAGCGAGAGGGACCCCCCGCCGCCCGCCTCCTTGCTGCGCGCCAACGCACTGTACATGGACAGGCTCATGTCCACGCTGCCCGTATCTGACATGGAGGCGCCCGAGCTGTCCGTGTCGCCCGCACGCCCGTTCCGCACGGGCTCCGGCGCCGCCGGATCCGGGGTTCCCCTCCCCCCCGCCGACTCATCCTCCTCCTCGTCGCTCCTCCGTTCCTCCTTGCGGGAGGCGGGGACTGGCTCCGCTCGCTCGTGCGATTCCTCCGCCCCCGTCCCCTGTTTCTCCCGCTCCTCCTCGGCCTTGGCGCCGACCGGCGCCGCCGCCGGCACCGCCGCTGGCGCCGCCAGGGCCTCCGTCTCGGCCTGGCCCGTCTCTCCGGTAGCCGCTGACGCCTCCTCCGTGCTGTCGTCTCTGAACTCGAGCGGCGGCGGGGGGGTGTCGCGGCCGCCCTCCTCCCCGCTCAGCGGCGCGTCCCGGAATTCCGGGGGCGGCTCCGGAACTTCCTGCACGGACGGCGTTCGGGGCAGAGGCGGTAGCGCGACGCCCACCACCGCCGCCACCGCCGCCACCGCTGCCCCCGCCGGCACCGCCTCCTCCTCGCCGCCCACGCTCACCGCGCCATCGGCGCTCGGTTTGGTTACGGCGGCGGCGGCCACCGCGGCTTCCGCGACCGCGACGTCGTCCGAAGAGCCACCCGCGGCCGATGCCATCTTGTCATGGGATGCGGGGTCCGTCTCCTCGTCGCTCTCCTCCTCTGCGTCCTCAAACTCGATCGAGTCGATCACCTCGTTCAGCATCGCGATCGTCACCTCGACGGACTGCGACGAGGGCATTGCTCCCTTCAGCGGCACCTCCTCACCGGACTCCGCCGCCGCTGCCACCGCAGCTTCGTCACCGCCCTCGCCGGACCGCTCCTCCGTTTCTGCGGCGACGATGCTGGCCAACCCGGTCACCGTGGCAACGCCGTCCTCTGGTTTGCTGTTGTCGGAGGGCATCTCGGCAACAATTTCACGAGTCTCAGCCGGTTCCGCTACGGGCTCGGGCACGACTACAGGGGTGGCGGCCGGGGTCACGGCGGGGGTCACGGCCGGGGTCACGGCGGGGGTCACGGCGGGGGTCACGGCGGGGGTCACGGCAGGGATCACGGCAGGGGTCACGGCGGGGGTCACGGCGGGGGTCACGGCCGGGGTTATGGCCGGGGTCACGGCAGGGGTCACGGCCGGGGTCACAGCCGGGGTCACAGCCGGGGTCACGGCCGAGGTCACGGCCGAGGTCACGGCAGGCGTCGGGAGTGGCTTCTCGTCCTCCAGGCTGGACACGCTGATATCAGAGGCTGCGCGCTTGTGTCCAGGTATCGACTGCTTTGCACACGTACGCACACGTGCACACACGTGCACACACGCGCACACACACACGCGCACACACACGCGCGTGAGGTGGACCGCGACCACGACTGCCCCCACGGAGCAGCTGAGCGGCGTCTCGCGTGTGTGCCTGTGCAAGGGCGCCCGTGTGTATTTGTGCGAGTCTGCGTGTATACGTGTGAAAGTATACACGCGGGCGAGCGGGCGAACTCACGGGCGTGCCCTCGCTCTCCTCGTCGTCCTCCTCGGACCGCTCGTCCATCACCTCCTCCTCCATCACCTCCGCCTTGGCCTCGGCGATGAGCTCACGCAGCGGCTTCACCGCGGCCGCGTCGCTCACGAATGCGTGCTGGGCGTGGGTAGGGGGGCGGCACGTTCGTTCACCCAGGGAAGCCACGCCTCTGGTTCAGGAAGGCCCTGTGTGGTGTCTGCGTGGTGTCTGCGTGGTGTCTGCGTGGTGTCTGCGTGGTGTCTGCGTGGTGTCTGCGTGGTGTCTGCGTGGTGTCTGCGTGGTGTCTGCGTGGTGTCTGCGTGGTGTCTGCGTGGTGTCTGCGTGGTGTCTGCGTGGTGTCTGCGTGGTGTCTGTGTCCCTCCTACTGCACGGACCTGCAGCAGCTGTGGGGCAGACCAGCGCGTCTCAGGGTTCTTGTCCAGTGCCTTATGCAGGAAGTCGCTGAACTGCGGGGACCTGGGGGGTGGGGCGGGGTGGGCGAGCGGAGGAGAAGACACCCACGGCAATTGACCACCGAATGCACGGGAAGTGAACCGCAGCGGCACACCGCTAGACGTACGCGAACGGTACGTAGTAGGTGTGCGTACAGTGTACATGTGGTGGCGGCGGCGGCGGGTTCACCAGCGCGACGGGGCGAGCAGGGTGGGCGGCTCGCCCTTGGCGATCTTGAGCAGCACGCGCATGGGGTTGAGCTCGTGGTTGGGCGGCTCCACCTGCGCCATCTCGATGAGCGTGATGCCCAGCGACCACACGTCCGCCTTGTAGTCGTACGGAGAGTCCTTGAACGTCTCGCACATCACCACCTCCGGCGCCATCCTGCACACCGCCATCGTCGCCGCACACACGGCACAGTGGGTTACTGCGCGGCGGTGGGGGCAACCGCACTTCTGCTTCAGGGCAGGCAGAGGACGAGGAGCGTGGCTGGTGCGTGGTGGTGCGTTGTATCTTGGTGTGGCGTGGTGTGATGCGATGTAGCGTGGTGTGGTGTGGCACGGTGCGGTGTGACGCGGTGTGGTGCGGTGTTCTGTTGCGTGGTGCCCCACCAGTACGGAGTGCCGATGAACGAGTCTCTCCTCTGCAGGGTCTTGGTGTTTTTTGCGGAAACTCCAAAGTCAGCTGGTGGGGAGGGGGAGCGACAAATTTAGAATGATCAGGAGGGGTGGAGGGGGAGGAATTGACGGGGAGCCATGGTGACAGATTGAGAGCGGTGTGTGGAGTAATGGAGAGCCACGGAGAGTCACAGGGAGCCATGGAGGAGTAACAGAGCGGTACATCCCAGTGTGTGCGTATGCAAGAAGAGACTGCCGGTTCCGGTGCCCGTGCTCACCGAGCTTGACCTCGCCGTCGAGCGACAGGAGGATGTTACCGGCCTTGAGGTCGCGGTGGATGATTTTGTTGTCGTGGAGGTAGCACAGCGCCTCGAGCGTGTAGCGGCACACGACGCGGATCTGTGGCTCCAGCAGGGGCCGGTCCAGCTCTACACGTGTACAACACACACACACACACACGTGTGCAACACACACACACACACACGTGTACAACACACAAACGTGTACCACACACACACAAACGTGTACATTAGACGCACGCAAACAAAGAAACCCAAGTGGAGAATCGAACGCAGCCACACGTCCGCTCGCCAAGCGACTCTCCACCTGCATTCATGTGCGGGGCTCCCTGACACCTGACCCCACAGCAGCCGCCCCATGTGACTCACCCAGCATGATGGCGTCCAGAGCACCCCCAGGGCAGAACTCGATGAGGATCTAGAGGCGACACACAGAGACACACACGCACACATACCGTCTATACACACGCAATAAACAGCGAAGATCCCCCGTATAGCCTTAACATATTAGTTGGGAACAGTGCTTTTAGCAAGCACCTATGAAGGCCGCCATGGCACACAGCAGCAATAACTTATTTGAGGCCGAGTCGACCTAGGGGAGGCCCAGGACCGGTTCAGGTGATCATCACGAGTGTTGGCCGTGAGAAGAAATCGAACTCAGGTGGGGTTTGAGGCGCAGTGCGCCAACCACTGTGCCGCTGCTGTATGTAGACACACGCACAAACAGACGCACGCACGCACAGAGACGCACGCACAAACAGACACACATACGCACAGAGACGCACACATGCACATAGAGACACACGCAAATAGACGCACGCACAGACACACACGCACATCGAGACACACGCACATAGGGACGCACGCACATAGACTCCCTCTCCACATGGAGCAGTCCTCTTCGCTCACTAGTTTACGCTCCTCCCTCAAAACTCACTTTTTGTCCCGACCTCACCCCACGACCCCTTAATCTCCACCTATAACCACTTCCTCTTCATAATCACATTACATGGCTACCACCCCTTCCCCATCCTTCCAATCCAATTATCATCATCATTCGTTTTCAGCAATTTTGCTTTTACCTCATTCACGCACTACAGATTCGCCCATTGCTTCCTCTCATCCATTTCATTCACCTTATCTCCACCATTACGTGCATGTGTACCATTCTTAATTCTCTGTAAAGTGCCTCAGTTAAGGCGCTATATAAATTAAGATAACATGAGATGCACAGAGAGAGAGATCCCCACATAGCCTTTAACAAGCTGCTGGGGCAAATTATGTTAGTGAGCATACAAAGACAAAGATCCCCCGTATAGCCTTAACAGACTGTAGGGGCAAGTGCTGTTAGCGAGCACCTATGAAGGCCGGAACGGTACACGAGGGGGTGGGTGGCCAGCACCATGCCCGACCGCCTTTGTCTCCCTAGTGGCAATGTTTACACACCGCACCAGGTACTCATTTGAGGCTGAGTCGACCTAGGGGAGGCCCGGGACCGGTTCAGATAATCGTCACTGATGTTGGCAGACACACATTCACACACACACACGGACACACAGATACACAAGTGGACCTTTAAACAAACATCAGCACGCAGCGCTGGACGCAGTAATTTTGGGGCTGACGCATTAGCGGAAAGAGGATGGGGGCTGAACAGAAGGCTACATGGGGACACAGCCCACGTACCCTTAGCACACCCAGCCCACGCACCCTTGAACACACCCAGCCCACGCACCGGTGAACACACCCAGCCCACACACCGGTGAGCAAACACAGCCCACGCACCGGTGAGCACACCCAGCCCACGCACCGGTGAGCACACCCAGCCCACGCACCGGTGAACGCACACAGCCCACGCACCGGTGAACACACACAGCCCACGCACCGGTGAACACACCCAGCCCACGCACCGGTGAGCACACACAGCCCACTCACCGGTGAGCACACACAGCCCACTCACCGGTGAACACACACAGCCCACGCACCGGTGAACACACCCAGCCCACGCACCAGTGAGCACACACAGCCCACGCACCGGTGAACACACCCAGCCCACGCACCGGTGAACACACACAGCCCACGCACCGGTGAGCACACACAGCCCACGCACCGGTGAACACACCCAGCCCACGTACCGGTGAGCACACACAGCCCACGCACCGGTGAGCACACACAGCCCACTCACCGGTGAACACACCCAGCCCACGTACCGGTGAGCACACACAGCCCACGCACCGGTGAGCACACACAGCCCACGCACCGGTGAACACACACAGCCCACGCACCGGTGAACACACCCAGCCCACGTACCGGTGAGCACACACAGCCCACGCACCGGTGAGCACACACAGCCCACTCACCGGTGAACACACACAGCCCACGCACCGGTGAGCACACACAGCCCACGTACCGGTGAACACACCCAGCCCACGCACCGGTGAGCACACACAGCCCACTCACCGGTGAACACACCCAGCCCACTCACCGGTGAACACACACAGCCCATTCACCGGTGAGCACACACAGCCCACTCACCGGTGAACACACACAGCCCACTCACAGGTGAACACGCCCAGCCCACGCACCGGTGAACACACCCAGCCCACTCACCGGTGAACACACCCAGCCCACTCACCGGTGAACACACACAGCCCACTCACCGGTGAACACACCCAGCCCACGCACCGGTGAACAGACCCAGCCCACGCACCGGTGAACACACACAGCCCACACACCGGTGAGCACACCCAGCCCACGCACCGGTGAGTACACCCAGCCCACGTGTTCCTAACTTATTTACAAGCTCCTGAGCACAGGGTTGTGACGACCACAATCCCGACTCGATCTTTCCGTGTCAGACAAAAGGTGACATGTGACACCGGCCAGGCGTTTGTGGTGGGGGGGGGGGAACAATCCAATGGAGGCCCCCTACCCACCCCCAGCAGCACAGCGGTGGCTTGAAATAGGTGGCAACGGCGGTGGCGGTGTTGGTGGCGCGTGGTCAAGGGGACTGGTGACCCTGACCCCAATGTCGCGCGGCCTCCCCCAGGGGTCTTCCGGTTCCACATTTCATCATCGCCGAGTATTATTTACACCGCCGAGCCTTCCAGGATGTGTGGTTGCACTTCTTTCGCGCCGCACGTAGCCAACCGTGCACATCAGAGGTGCCAAAAACGGGGCAGCCTTTGAGACGACGACTCGGTGAGGAAGTAGTCGCAGAACACACAGCGTTCAAAACAACCCAGCGCCGACGATACAGCGCACAACCAACGACAATAAACACCACCGAGAAGCGAAGCTGCGCTCGGGGAAACTCTAAGTTGGGTTTCCCATCCAGCGACTCGGAGCGCATCGTCCACGCCGGCTCGCGAGGGAGACGCAGGTGACAGCGAAGTGAAGTTTTTCTTTTGTTCCATTTGCACGATCCTAATCGCTCCGGTAGTCCACATGCGTTTAGAGTGTTTGGGTACTATACATTTTGACGCGATAAGCCATTTCGTTTCGTTGAGCTATAATTTGTAGTCAGGTCACTTCTTAAAAAGAGCGATATAGCTCAGTAGGTAAAATAAAAACAGTTAATAGTTTGAGTTTAGTTTGACTGCACTGCCGAGGGAGGGGGCCTGGGATCGCACCGTGAGGGGACTGCTCCCACAGAGATAACCGGCTACGGCGTAGCAAAACTACACACGGGGGTTTAAACACACATCCGCATGCGTGCTGGCGCGTGGGTCAAAATACACACAGAGAGATTCTACCTCCAGTCTGTGTATCAGAATCAGTCTTTACTTAGACTGGATAAGGAGTCCGATGAGCCATGAAGCTCTTTTTCACAGATGTCCATAATGGGCGGGTCAGAAAGTTATTTATTAGAGGGCAGCCTGCTCCTGTCATTTATTCATGAGTGGGCAGCCAGCCTCACCAGTCTATTCACAAGAGGACAGCCTGTCCCTGTAGTCCATTAATCAGAGGGCAGCCTGCCCCGCCTGGTTGCCCGTGCCCAAGTCCTCCTCCCATGCTGGTGGGCTCTGCCTCTCAGCCCCTGCCTAATCTGGGCCGGGCTTGGAGCCAGACCACAAGCCAAGGACAAACTTCCTGCTCAAGCAACACGGAACTCAAATCGCGCGTTGGCCACGGCATTCCAGGGGCATGTTCGCCCTTGTGCAGTCCTCCCCCCTCCCGGGGGGGTCAATTACACGCGCGATGATGCCACTGCCATTTCATCGCTACAAAGGCATCGAGGACGGTGACGCCGTGGGCAGCGTGCCTGTCCGCATGCCCGCCAGGCCGGGATTAGCGTGGTTACGACGACTGGCCCACGTGCCGCTGGGAAGAGAGAGCACCGCCAAAGAGTTTCAAAATGGCACTCGCAAGTTGGCCAGGTGGCTCATAATGGCATTGCTGAGACCTTGGGTTTGAGCCATGGGTCTGGGGGTGTCTGTCTCTCTCTTCATCTCAGGGGGTTTATAATGGTCATGTGGGTGACACTGAGATCCTGGGCTGGAATATGGGTGTGCAGAGTTGATGGTTTGACTGCACAAAACACTGCAGCTGTGCAGCACGTCTTAGGCCATTTATTGTAAACATTCTCAGGATCTTAAGACGAGTTGCTTTAGTTTGGCTGTTCGAGTCTTTGGAATTTACAGTGAATCATAAAACTCCTCTGTATATGTTCTGGAATTGCTTTGGCAACTCACAGTGAGCCACATTTGGCTTACATACACACTGGTCGTAAAGTAACATTTCTTTTTTTTGTTGACTCAAACAAGTTATTCATAGTGCGAGTAGATGTTATAGGCGTGTGTGTTTCACAAGTAACAGGAGGAAAGGAGGTGCAAATTGAATCCATCTGGCAACCCACGCTCGGCACACCGTTATAAACACGGCCCCATTGCTTTTTCGACAGAACAAAAAAAACTAAAAAAGCAACCGAAAAAAAACCCACAGAGAACACAAAAGTTCCCCGGCAGCGCGCCCACACAAGGCGCGTCACTCAGTGACAGGCCCCCCCCCCCCAACCTCCCCGAGCCCCACCACCCCGGCTTCCTGCCTCGGGCTCGCTCACCAATCGGCGTCGTCGTGTTCGGTCGCGGCCGCCGCCACGAGCAGGGCCGGACGGCCGGCGTTAAGCAAGGAGAGGGGGGGAGCGACAGCGGCGGTGGCGGCAGCAGTGGTGGCGGTGCGGGGATTGTGCGGTTTATCACGGCGTGGGGGGAGGGAAATGTGTGTCTCGAGCCGATTAGCGTTTACTACGACGGCGCTCGGCACGGGGGGTCGACGACGGGGCACGCGGCACTATCGTTCCGCACCGCGGAACGGCGGGCGACACCCGAGGCGCACCGCACCTGGAATGAATTCCAATTAAATTTACAGCTGCATCGTTAGGCACGGTGACGATTACAACGCGGCCGCGATTCATTACGCTTGACGCGATTAGCTCTGCGACTGACCCCAGGTCTGGCACCGCAGAGTGTCGTGCTGTGCGCTGTGGTGTCGTGCTGTGCCGCACGACACCACAGCGCACCACGGCACAACGAGGCCTAGACCAAAGTGTGGTTCACAACATGGCTTGCCACACCACGTCGCACCGCAACAGAATGCAATACGCCACACCATAAAATGACACACGGCACCGCATACTCCATGACCATTGCTGCAATGTGCCACACGAAGACAAAAATCCCCCATATAGCCTTAACAAACTGTTGGGGCAAGTGCTGTTAGCGAGCACCTATGAAAGGCCGCCATAGCACACGAGGCACCACTCCCGGCCAGCACCACTCCCGGCCGCCTCCGTCTCCCTCGTCGGGATCTTGACACAACGCACCAGGTCACTGGTGTTGGCCATGAGCCAACATGGCCACCACCACCAGTGCGCTAATCACGACACCATCGCTCCCCTATAATGTGCCACACCACAATCCAGCACCCACACGCATGTGCCCTGCATCGTACCGACCTGCCCCCCCCACCACCACATACTGCCCCCGTTCCTTATGCTCCACCTCGTATCACAATGTCACCGTAAAGTCCCAGCCTCCAAGACAGCCTCGGCCCCTACGCATCCTTTGCAACTTCCTCCTCTTCCGCCACTACCACCACCACCACCGCCAAGAAGGATTTCTCTCTCTCTCTCTCTCTTGAGGTTGCTCAGAGGCTAAGCCATGCCATTGCTTGCATATCGGAGAGCCACTACCTGTGGCTCTCCGCGCGATCCCCTACGCTGCAGGCCTTGCTAGGCCAGTCACCGAGGGCTGCTACGCTAAGCCATGTGGTGTTCGTTCTTCTTGTCATGTCAATTACAGGGGCTAACACACATGCGCGTACACACGTACACACGCACAAACGCACACACACACGTGTAAGCACGCGTGTACCCAGAGCTTAAAGTCGTAGTAGAAAGCGTCCATGAGCTCGACGATGTTGCGATGGTGACAGGACGCGAGGATCTCGATCTCCACCATGTAGTCCTCCAGCTCCTCCTCGCTCTTCGTGTCGATCACCTTGGCGGCGGCGAGCAGCCCAGTCTCGCGGTGCTGAGCCTGCAGGGACACGCACGTGCACACACACACGCTGACACGAGCACTCACACACACGCGCAGACATGCACGCTCATGCTCGCGCACACACGCTCGCGCACACACGCTCAGCTGCTTCACGTTCTGGGGCCTGTGCTCAGCAACATACGCGTGTGCGCCGTTACACATGTGCACATGTGCTGACACGCGAAGACAAAAAAGGCCCCTCACCCAGGATGGGTTCTGAAATCGCTCTGCAGTGATGTTAGTCATTTCCGGGAATCGAACCCACTTCCACGACCCAATACGGAATGGGCAGCGCTTATCCAACAATGGATTGACAGAAAGGGCTGTACATGTTAATATACACACGTGGAAAGAGAAAGAGCTCCCACAGCAAACAAACAAGACAATGATATCCGGTATAGCCTAAACAGACTGGTGGGGCCAGTGCTGTTAGCGAGTAGCACCTATGAAGGCCGGGATGGCACACGAGTGGGTGGGTGGCCAACACCACGCCCGGTCGCCTTTGTCTCCCCAGTGGCGATTTTTATACACTGCACCAGGTACTCATTGGAGGCTGAGTCGATCTAGGGGAGATCCATGACTGGTTCAGATAATCGTGACTGGTGTTGGCCGTTAGTGGGAATCGAACTCGGGTCACCAGGTTCGTAGCACAGCGCGCTAACCATTACACTGCCGCTCTCACACACACACAAACTAAAACACACATACATGCACATGGGATGTGGCACATGTACAAAAACTATCATGCATGTGGCCCTGCACCGACACGCATGTCATTTCATGTATTAATGAATTAGAACGTTCCATGTGGCTCATCGCTTGAGATGGAACATCTTGTTTGCACGCGTGTCCAATGTGCCAATGGACATTTGCCAAATGACTGTTGCACACTGGGGTACTCATTTAGACCAAGGTGGGAGGCAGGGGTGGCCAGGCACAGTAGTGGCCCCTCCTCGTGCGCCATGAGTACGTTAATAAGCACAGGGAATAGATTTCTCTTTCCTGCTGCCGCCCCCCACGGCTCGAACTCCATCCCCCGGGGAGGCTTGCACTGCTGGACCGCTTCTCCTGTTCAAGTCCATGTGTCGGTGCGCGTGTGCTGGCGCGCGTGTGTGCGTGTGCCCACGTGTACAACGACTGGGAGAGCCGACATTTGGCGATTGACAAGGATGCCCACGCGTGGCCCCCGTGTAACCGCCCGACGCCGGTGAGGCAATACACACCGGCGACGCCATCACCTTCCTGTTCGGACTGACACCGCACCCTCCCTGCTCGCCGTGCCAAAACACATGGCCACCCAGCCGGATCCCACCACACCCTGGGGTGCGCCGGCCTGCTCGGTGGTGGCGACGGCGGTGGTGGAAAAGTCCGTGGCCAAAACGGGTGGCATTGTGCCAGAGTGGTGTGGTGTGTTGTCGACCCACAATGGTGAAGCACTGGCTTGTAAATCGGGTGGTGTCGTACCAGCATAGGGTGCTACTATTGTGGTGTGATGTATGTTAGTGGTGGGGCCAGAGTGGCATGGTGTGGTGTCCGTGCACCGTTGTGTGTGGTTCCTGTGTGCGTCGTGATGCGGCGAGGGGCGGTGTGCTGCACATTGAAATCAGTCTCCACCCTCGTGGTCTCACATCCTCACCCGCCCTATGAAGACAAAGCGGCCACCGCACAGTAGCTAAGCCTGGGTAAAAAAGTGACTCAGCCACAACTCCTCAGCACCGGGCGTCACACGGTCATTGGCCAAAACTCCAAAAGGAGTCGTGGGTCTCTGCCCAGTCGCACCCTGCACAACCCTTCCCCTACAGATTTCCATTACACGGTCGGACCCTGCCGACGTCACGAATTGGAGGAGGGGGATGGGGGGGCTCCGGTAACAGAGAAGCCGCTGTGTGTCCGAGCCGGCGAAATCCAGAGCACGCGCTTTCGCTCATCCCCACGCTGTGCCCCACCACCCATTAGCCTGCCACGTGGGACATAACACCCTGTTAACCACCCTATATCAATCGCCGTATACAACCCCCAACTCAATACCCACCACCTTATTACCCCACCACGTAGGTCCGACTACCCAATAACCCAACAACCGTATATCGCGCCACGTGTGTTCTACCACCACCCTGCGTTTGACCACCCAGTTACCCACCGAGCCAAGCTCTCTTCACGCGGGTCATTCAAACCCCGACCTCCCACACCGCGAATATTGGTTCCTGCCGACACCACAGACCATCTTCTTTTCACGAGAGCCCCTGCCAAGGAGGTCCCAATCTCTTGGATCAGCTTCCGGGAAAGGGCATAGAGGAGGAGGAGGGAAAAGTCCCTGTGTGGGGTGCAACACGACGGGTCCCCCTGTGGGTTGCAACACGGACGGGTTCCCCTGTGGGTAGCAACACGGACGGGTCCGAGATTATTCCCAAGAGCCCGGCCAAGTGCCATGGTCTCTGGGTCATGAGCTGGGATCCCACGAATCGATTGTTGTTTGTGTTACCAGGTACGCTATCGAGTGCTCTTTTTCAGAAGCGACCTGGCCACAAATGATAGCTCAACGATGTGGCATATCACGTGGAAAATGATAGCAGCCAAATACTCTAAACGCGTGCTTCTAAATGCGAAGGGAAAACCCTGACGACCCGGAGAAATGTCCACGCGACCACGGGGAGAGACGGAGAGAACACGCAAACTCCACACGTATACAGGCGTCAGGGTCGGGATCGAGTTGTTGTTTAGACTTTCTGACCCGCCCCGAGTGGACATCTGTGGGGGACAAAAACGATCTCCGCGGCCTCATCGGATTCCTCCAGTCAAAATAAAGATTCCGATTCCGAACCAACGACCTCCTGTGTATAAGCCCCTGCAAAGGTAGCCGACACCTCGCCACCTGCAACCAGGGAAGACCGCGCGCGGTCTCTGTGAAGCCACCAACTTCCGCTCGCTTCTCTGGTCGCTCGCCACTGCCGCCGCCGCCGCCGCCCAACGACAGGAATTTCCAGAGTGCTGCCGAGTAAACGGGGCTCGGCGAAGAGGTCGTTGGGGGCGGCTGGCAGTAAAATGGGTGGAAGTTATACGACCAAAACACACACACACAAGGGCGCGCAAGCGAGCGAGCGAGACTCGTCAACGAGGCTCGCGGGGAAGGGAGGTGGCGACGGGGAGCGGGGCACACAAAGTCACGACCACCGTGGGGAGGAGGTAGGCGATGGGAGATCTCGGGTGGGCAGGAGGCGATGGGAGATCTCGGGTGGGAGAGAGACGAGAGGGGAGACGCGAGGGGAGACGCGAGGGAGCCGGAAAGGGAACACTCACGCCCAATGGCAGCCACACCTTTCCGCAGGCCTCCGCTAATTCTTCGCTGCTTCAAGTTTTAGAGATTAAAAAGCCCTCGGCGAGATACACAGTCTCGCTGCCGCGGGCATAAAAAAACAACAGCAGCTGTTACAACGGCACGTGTGTCACACACACACACCGGCCTGCACGTGTTCCAACCTTGCGCACGACTAGATATTGATCTGAGGGGGGGTCGCCGCGAGTCGCTGTGCGGTCCTGACCGGCACCTGCACAGGATGTATCTGTATCTGTGTGTGTGTGTGGGTCCCTGTAAATTACTGTACTGTATTCGACCGAGTCATTGTAACCTCTACGGCGGTGTCCCTGTACAGCACAGGCAGAGTCCCTGTCTAGCCTTTGAATGGGTCCCCTGCTCAGTCGATGAATGGAGCCACGCAAAGTTTACGAGTGGGTCCGCGCACACGCCGTGAGCGGGTCCCCGTTAGAGGCGCTGGGCCGCGGGGAAGGGACCGCGCGCGGGCCCCGTGGTTCCCGTCCCCACCTTGTACACTTTGCCGAAGGCTCCGTCTCCCAGCTCGCCCACGATCAGCCAGCTGTCCTCGGGGTTCAGGTCCCGCTTCACGTGCTCGTACTGTTTGGGCTTCTTCTTGTCGGGGCCCAGCTTGAAGAACTTGCGAAAGTTGAGGAAGGCCATGGCTGTGAAAACCCCCGGGGGGGGGGGATGTTGGGGTGGCCCCTGCGGCCTACAGAGCTCGGTCGAGCAAGACACGTCCTCCCCGGCGGGGCGCGCTAGTCGAGATCGGCGGGGAGGGTCCGGAGCCTTGCGGTTCGGCTTCAGCAGGGCCGCTCGTCCTAAGCCGGGGGGGGGGGGGGTCGCGACCCCGCGTCGAGAGTCCGTGGAGACAGAGAGGCGCGGGGAGACACCGGGGGGGTAACCCCGCGGCTCGGCTCGAACAGAGACACGGGACGCCAGCCCCGTTTGAACCGGGAGGCAGATCGGACAGCCGCGCCCCGTGACGTCACCACGCACGCACCTCCCCCTCCGTGGTCTTGTCCCTGACGTCACCACGCACGGAGCGGGCGTTCTGCGCCCCGTGACGTCACCACGCACGCACCTCCCCCTCCGTGGTCTTGTCCCTGACGTCACCACGCACGGAGCGGGCGTTCTGCGCCCCGTGACGTCACCACGCACGCACCTCCCCCTCCGTGGTCTTGTCCCTGACGTCACCACGCACGGAGCGGGCGTTCTGCGACTCAGACGTCACCACGCACGACTGGTCCCCTGCGTTGGTGACGTCATCGCGCAAAGAGTACAGAGGAGCTGTCGCGTGACGTCGGACGCACGCGGCGCAGGGGTCCTGCGTTGTGACGTCATCGCGCACAGTGACTCACGCGCGGGGACGTCAATGCGTGGGTGGTGCCTGCGTGATGACGTCATCACGCACGGGTTGACCCTATCTCGTGAGTCATGAGGAGCGGCGACGTGATATATAATAATAATTAATAATTATGACGGCATGTTTGTTTGCATGTTTTTCCACATGTATGTGTGGTTAATGTAGACTTGCTGCCTTGTTAAAGATATCCACTTGGCGTTTGAACATCTTAACGCCTCCTGTTTTAGTACGACAAAGTAAAGCTGGTTCTTATATTTTCATCATTCTACTGCCAAAACTGGTCCCATAGATTGCAACACGGAATCTGAGATAATTGTGAGGGGTTGCTTATCGGAGTAATGAAGGGTTATACGTAGTGGGGCTTTCGTGACCAATATCACCCATAATAGAGGTTTTGTTGGGTTAAATCGCGTAAATAAATAAATGTGTCGTTAAACCCGCCACCACCCGACACAGGCAACTAGTAAGGGTTGTCACGTGAACAGAACGTGGCCAATTCGTCACTAGTACAGCACAAGTGTGTAGTGTATAGTGTAGTGTATAGTGTAGAGTAATGTAGTGTATATTGTAGTGTATAGTGTAGAGTAATGTAGTGTATAGTGTAGTGTATAGTGTATTGTATAGTGTAGTGTATAGTGTAGAGTAATGTAGTGTATAGTGTAGTGTATAGTGTAGAGTAATGTAGTGTATATTGTAGTGTATAGTGTAGAGTAATGTAGTGTATAGTGTAGTGTATAGTGTAGTTGTATAGTGTATAATGTAGTGTATAGTGTAGAGTAATGTAGTGTATAGTGTAGTTTATAGTGTAGAGTAATGTAGTGTATAGTGTAGTGTATAGTGTATAATATAGTGTAGTGTATAGTATAGTGTATAGTGTAGTGTACTAGTACAGCAACACCGGTGTGTTGGAGAGAAAATCCACCACATTCACAATCTGAGTACGACGTTTCGCCAGTAATTACAACGAGCATCATAACGAGATGACGGATTGAAGAAGTTCAGCGGGGAGATGGAGCGATGGAGTCAGCGGAATCAGCTCGTGTGCCAAGAGCCGCAAGGATTGTTGCGTTTGTGGCCAGGGCGCTTCTGAAAAAGAAGCTAATGACGCAGTGGGCCTGACCTTGTAAGATTAAAAAAGAGATGTATTTGTGTATATATGTTTTAAAAGTGATTTTTTTAGCGTGCCTATAAGTTGCACTCGTGTCGAGTTTTTATATTATTTGTTGCAATGTTAAGATCTGCCCCTACGGGACATCTGTGATAAATAGGTTATATAGCTGATCACATTCCTCCAGTATCAATATTCTGATTCTGAAAGACGGCCTACGACTTGGGGGAGGCCTTCATTCAGCAGTGGATAGATCATGGCTGAGAGTGGAATTAGATGGCTGCCCCGTGCAGCAGCAGCTGCTGTGTTTGTGTTGGAGTGATGACAATGGCTGCTGTTGTTGTTGTTATTGTTTTATAGTGATGGCGAGGCTGCCCCACAACTCACACAGACGGACTTTGGATGAGTGACCGGTAATTGATAACAGGAGCACGATAACAGACGAGGCGATGGCAGGTACGAGATGACGCGTGAGAGGTTACAGGTGAGAAGATATGACAGGTGAGATGACAGGTGAGAGATAACCGGTGAGAGGTGATAGGTGAAAGGAGAGATGAGAGATAACCGGTGAGGGATGGCAGGTGAGAAGATATGACAGGTGAGAGATAACCGGTGAGGGATGGCAGGTGAGATGAGGTGATAGGTGAGAGGAGAGGTGAGAGATAACCGGTGAGGGATGGCAGGTGAGAGGAGATGACGGGCGGCGAGTGGAATCTTACATCGCCCGACTGTGAAAAGAGCGATGGCTTGTGGGAGAGGCCTTCATCCAGCAGTGGATCTGACCATGGCTGCTGGTGACGATGGCGCGGTCTGGTAGGGGACAGCGTGCGAGGCCTGGCACCGCCGTTGCGAATGAACACCGCGGAGACATCCGAGCAGAGTTTGTAACGCTCGTGGCGCCTGTTTTAATAATTTATAAAGTGCCTCTCACAACAAGCCCCCCCCCCCCTCCATACTCACAACAACAAAGCCCCTCCCCTTCAATCTCACACTCAAGCCCCCCACCCCCCTCAATTACACTTGCAACAATCGCCCCTTCCGCTGTAGGGTCTAGGCCACCGTAAATGACGAAGCCAGGTCGGGCCCCCGTAAGAGACGGGGGTCCCAATGTCAGCTACCACACGCTTGCATTGCTTAGAGTTAAATTACGATATGTCACGCGATCATCACAATCATCCCCATCTTAATCATTATCATCATCAACATTATGGTCTTCATCTCTGTGATGGTCATCATCACCATGAACATCATGGTCATCCGTAAAACATCCTCTTGATCTTCTTCATCCCGATGGTGGTCATCGTCATCATGATCAGCACCTCCGTCATCACCTGCACCATTTAATGTTGGTTGACCGAGGTCGCTATCCTGGTCGCTCTTGAGCTCTCGTCTGGTTCAACAACATAAACTTTAACACTTGAACTTTGCCCATGGCCATCCTTATCTTCACCATCCTCACCCCTCGCGCGCAGTAATAAGTTAAATAAGTTAAAGATCGGAGAGGCGACTGACGCCGGTGACGTCACCGCGCGTGTCCCGGGAGCTGCGAGCCCACGAGGGTGGGGGCGGCTCAACCCGGCCCCCCCGCCCCTCCCTGCAATTCTGACTGCCCCCCCCCTCTCTCCCTGCAATTCCGACTGTCCCCCTGCACCTCTCCACCATCACTCTCCCTGCACTCCCTTCTCTCTATCCGCTGGCCGCTAAACCCTTCAGGGCACTGCACGTCCCACTCTCCCACTTGCGCACCAGATCCAGGGGGGTCTTCCGTTCCTGTCGGGTGGCAGGACGGGGTTGGGTGGGGTCACAAATCGGGGGTGGGGGGTGCAAAGGGTGGGGGCACGTGACTCGCGAGTACAGAGTAATTTTTAAAATGTCAAGGTTTTAAATATCTCCTCCTACAATGTCACCCTCTCTTCACATCGGCACAGTTTTAAACACAGCGCGCTATCCTCCTCCACACCACTCATCCTACTCCACGTCATCATCGTCCGCGTGCCTTTTCCAGAACCTCTTCACCCTCCTCATCCTCCTCTAGAAGTTCGCGTCTCGAATAGGGCGGCCGTCCCGGTGAATACCGCGGTAGTTTGAAAACCCCAAACAACGACGCGCCGTCTGCATCACTCGCAGCGGACGTCAAAGATCCCTTGACGGCATTCGCAAGAGTGGAGCCATTGTGTGCCAGCGTCAAGCTCCACTTGAGATCGTTGTGCACACAGCAGCAGCAGCAGCTAGGGTCGCCCACTACTGGCAGACTCATGTCGCCAGGTCACTCTTGCAAATGGGACTGTATCCTGGCACTGTTTATTGACGACAAAGACCCCCGTGTGGCCTTAACAGACTGGTGGGGCAAGTGCTGTGAGCGAGTAGCAGCGCTACCTATGAGCAGTATCGTAGCGGTTCGCGCGCGGCTCTACAAACTCGACGACCCGAGTTCATCAAGGCGAACACCAGTGACGAGTATCTGAATCGGTCCCTGGGCCTCCCCTAGGTCGATTCAGCCTCAAATGAATACCTGGTGCGGTGTAAACATCGTCGCTAGGGAGACAAAGGCGGCCGGACGTGGTGCTGGCCATCCACTCTCTCGTGTGCCGTGCCAGCCTTCATAAGTGATCGCTAACAGCACTTGTCCCAACAGTCTGTTAATAGGCTATACGGGAATCTTTGTTTATTGATATCCTCATCTGGATAAACAAAATAAACATAATCGTCCATCTAGCTCATGATCTTTACTCATCACCATTATATCTCCTCTCGCTCCACTTCCTGATCCTATCTTCCTCCTCCTTATTCCGTCTCTTCATCATCATCGTCGTCGTCTACCGTCATCATCGTCTATAATTAGTGTGCCTCTCCTCTCTCCACTTGTCCATACTCCGTCTCATTCATCATCGTCATCATCGTCGTCGTCCTCCGCGACCCGCCGGCTCACCGCGTTCTTGATCTGCAGTCCGGCCCCGTGCAGCACCAGGAGACGCACAATGCGGGGCCGGCCAAGACGGACGGCGTCGTGCAGGGGAGTGTCCCCCTCCTGGGAGAGCGAGGGACAGAGAGAGGGGGGGGAGAGTCAGGGGGTGCGAGAGAGAAGTCGAGTGGGAGACGGAGAGAAAAAAAGAGAGAAGGGAGAGCGAGCGGGGAGATGTAGGAGAGAGTGGCGAGCGTGAGGATCAAGTGATGGTGGGCGTGAGGGTGAGCGCTCAGCGTGACGGTGGTGAGCCTGGTGGTGGTGGTGAGTGCCCACTCACCCGGTCGCGTGAGTTCACGTCGGCCCCGCACGCCAGGAGGTGCTCCACACAGCCCGCGCGCCCCGTGCGCACCGCCACGTGCAGCGGCGTGCTCATCGCCTGGAGGGGGCAATGAAGTGAATTAGAAACCCCGATCAGGCCGGTGCTCAACACACGTGTGGACGCGCTCCGGGACTCGATACAACTTTTATTTTTTTACCAGGCAAGACCCCCTGAGATATGTCGCTCTTTTTTCAGAAGCAGCAACCTGGCAATCACA